CACTTAACGCGTTTCTGAATTAGTTCAGAAACCGTTTATGACCTAAGCATTTTAGCACTGCAATTAAAATCACTGTCACTGATACTAGATGGGACTCCTTTAGCCTCCTGAATTGATTAGTTTCCAACAGAATAAAACCGTCCATTAGGGTAGATTTCATGTGCCAAACTGTCAGTCAGTTTCTGTGACTGTCACACACATCCTCCCACGGCCCGCCCTTCCTAGCGGCTGCTAAGTCACATTAACATGCTATCAGATCATCACTCTCAGATTTTCACATTTCAGCAGCTGCTACTCTCTTCTTGTTAGTGAGTCTGGAGAGAAAATCTTTCAGACAAAATGGAACTGAGCCCTGTGGTTATTGTGACTGGAAGTATGCAGAACTGAAAGTGCCCGAGGGGAGCCTGCAGGTACCATGCACAGGTCTTTCAGAAGAAACATTTGTCATTAAAAATTGCTGCCCATGGGGGGGAAAAAAGCTGATCTCTGCTCCAAAGGTGCAATACTTGTTATTTTGTCACATTTTTAGCATCAAAATTAAGCAGAGGCCAGTGTGAGAGACTCATTCAACCTCACTTATTTGTCATCCCACCTTGATGAGGTCAGCAATCCCCAGCACACACTTTCAAGCCAAGCAGCCCAGTGCACTGCCAAAAGTGTTGAGGACAACGTTTGTCACTGATGTCTTTCCACACAGATAATGCAAACTTGGTTCAGGTTCTGTACCACTGAATTCTTTAGAAGAGTTACATAAGCATGAGATGAAAACAATAAGGTTGTAACACAACTGCTGTTGTATTACCCTGAAGGTGGGCCCATTTGATTGGCAGCTGGACTTTCGGTGTGCTGTTCTGCATATCCTTGTGTTGTCACATGACCTCAGGGGAGTGTCCTGAGCTGCCTGCGCCTCTTTTCATTATAAACAGAAATTAATGATACTTTTTTATCCCTGTAACTTTATTTACAATGATACCTACTGAAGAGATTAAAGCATGTATACCAGCAAGCATGATTATTAGTCTGTACCCTTACATTCTGTTAAGAGTACCTGAGCTTGCCAAGCACAGACCAACTTTATTATTAAATCTTTGGAACATTTTTATAGAACAAGTATGAATAAAGGAATAAACTGTATTTTTAAAATATTAAATAATCTTTTACAATTACGTTCTAAGAAGGGCACCATTAAGGATCTTACATGGTATTTAAATCTTTCCTGATAAGTTTTGTGCTTCTTATGGCTTTCTCAGTTGGTCAATAACTTTCAGACCTTAAAATCCACTTAGAACACATATTCTCTAATGAAAGAACCTCTCAGATACATCTGAGCACATTTACTGTCCATTTGCTACTATACAATAATTGCAAACAGCAGCAGCCATCAACAATATGTGTTGAAAAAAGCTCAGGATGGAATAGTATCTTCATCACTGTGTTGAGTTGAAACAGAGACAGATTATCTGGTGATTGGGGCTTGGAATATTAATTAAACATCAAGGCTTTCAAATTAGAATCCCAGATGTTTGATCATTATGGTAATTCCCTGTTAACAGCACTCCCGGAAAGGCCTGGAGAACATTCCTCTAATTCTCCAGTGGTGAAAGGTTGAAGACCCTTAGGCTATAGAGCACTGAGCTCCCCTGCATCAATTACACAAGACATGGACTTTTTAGCAGAGTGGAGCCATCCTATTTACTGGGCCTTCTGTTAAGGAGGCTTTCAAACAGCTCAGTGCTCTAGGTAGATAAGAACTTCCCTTTCTAACAGAGGCCTTTCCAAAAAGCACACTGTTCCTTGCACAAGCTGCTTGCTCTGAATCAAGCCTCCACAGCAACTGTCTTTCTGTCTTTTCAGGGAGACGTAGTGCCAGCATCTTCAGGAGAACTTTCCTGTCAACAGCACTGTCACTGAGAATGAGTCTTTTCCTCTGGACAGCCTGGCACAGGAGTCAGACCATCTCCTCTGGCTCTTGCTAAAGCAGCCCTTGCTCCAGCTGAACTGCCTCCCACAGGTGCTACACGTGTAACCTTATCCTGAAAAGCTGGCATGAGTTCAGGTCATCCTCAGGAAATTTTATGGAATGTTGCTAGTTTCCTTTCTGTACTCCTTGGGCATCTGTAGTACTATATTTTATAGAGACAACTTCTCCTGAGCCTGTGAACTAAACTGGGAACAATGTTTGCAGAGCCCATTGACAAGAATGCAGATGGTTCCTTTAACAGCACAAGCTCTGTTTGTCATAGTCAGCTCAGGAAGCGTGTTTGAGGATCTGCATGGAGAGCCAGCCTGTTTACTACCACAACACGGTCCTCAAACGTGTGACCTCCTCAGGGCATTCAGCAATTTGTGACTTGTCATAAATTATCTACCTAGGAGCAATGACAGCACCACTTTCACCTGGCAGTGACTTTTCTCTTACATCTCTTCTCTCAGTACATGCTCCTACTAACACACAAATAAAATACAACTTCATAAACATGCCCAAAGCAGCCCAAAGATTTTTCATCAAGCATGGAATCAGAGAAGGTAGCATGAGATCTAGACAAGAAGAGACTAACCAGCTGAAGTTCAAGGGCTCAGGTTATTGACTTATAAGCTTAGTCAAACTTGGTTAATCTGAAAATAATTTAAAGGGAAGGGGGATGTATTGCAGTATTTTTTATTCTTTACTAGATGTTAATTTTGCACAGCCTGATTAAGGATTTTCAGTCATTGCAGGGTACAGCTTCAGAGCAGATATACTGGACCAGTTGAAGACTCCCTTTTCCATTTAGTGGCAAGGATTACGTGCTATCTCAGAAAGTCCTCTACAGAAAGCTATTGTTACTTAACAAAAAACTCTTCTACAGCAGTCCTCAGGGCCGACGTATGGACTGTGGATGCAGACATTCCATTTCAAATGAATGGAACATATAAGTTCCACAAAACCTATAGAATCCACCCCACAGCTGTTAATTAATAAAAACACCTTACTATCTGTTTACTAACAAAATATAAATGTGTACTCAAAAGTATTTGCATTATTCACAAGGTTTCCTCTACAGGCATGAAGGTCTCTATGCCATACTCCAATCAATTGCAGATGTTGCAGCAAGTAGCCTCTTTGTGGCAGCAGATTTCTATAAATCTTTTCCTCACAGAGTAGCTCAAAAAACAGATTCAGCCACAATCATACAGAGACAATATCATTCATCATGCCCTGGCCCCAACACCAGCTATTTTCACTTACCCATCAGCTTCCCTAATGTATGTTTTACTGCAACTCCATAATTCTGTTCAGGAAGTACTTAGACATGCTTCATTACTCAAGTTGATGGAAGAAAAGGAGGTTAGGACAACACCAATCTCAACAAAATCCATCCAGCTTTGAACATTAACATCTCTGGTTGTCAGAGTACGAAGCATGCCCAGTTTCCTGGATTTTGCTTGGCCCCTCATTGATATTGACTGCAACCTTACTCAAAGTAATTTATAAATCTCTTGCTGCAAGTAGCCTTGTGTTTTCAATGCCTGTCAACAGTCCAGTAAAACTAGGCTACATATATCATTAATTTATAGAGCCCAACCAAGCCCTGGGAATGAAGTGGAAACTGCCCTTTGACAGCACTGTACCCCTCCAGAACTGCAGACCAAAAAGCTGATGCACCAGAATCAAGCTGGTTAGTTCTGTGTAACTGGAAATGGCAAACTTCCAGAACAGTTCTCCATTATTCCACATTGAAGGACCTTTCATGTCACCAGCTCAGGGCTGCCTGATTTCTGCAGTGTAGCTAAGTGGCCTTGGGCACTGTGATGGTGTTCTACTATTACTGACCACTGCAAATTAGAAGTTTTTTCCTTTGACCAGCCATTATTAGTTGGGCAACACCAAAGGAAGCAATTGGTTATATAAAGCTTCTCAGGAAGAAGAGACAATATTAATGGAATCCTCTGCTCAGATGCCCCTTCCACCTGACTCTTTCAAACCTTTGTCACAGAAGATGTGTGGAAGCTTATTCTTAATATCCTTCTAATGAGAATATTCATTTGCAATTTAGCACTAAATTAGATTTTATCACTGTTCAGCACTCTTTTTCTGTCTTGTCTGACACCTCTTTGGGAAAAAAGACATTGATTTGGATGATGGGATAAAAACAAAGCTGGCACTGGGTTCCAGGATATCATTCCCAGCTGTCAGTGTCAGGTCATGTACAGCAAGACCAGCCTCAGCAGTGAAATGCTATGCTGAAATATTCCAGGTACTTGCTAGGAAATAACACAGACTGTGGACTAAATATTCCCAAATGGCATTCACTTAATCTAGATTGAAGCTATAAAGTCTTCTCAACAATTAACACAGGTGATTGAAAAGCATTTCACTCAAGTAACTGTAATTTCAGGCAATTTTCAGGTATGGCTTATGAACTGAGATACTCTGTGCAGGTTTGGCTTTATCAACTATCTACTGGCAAATGAAGAGTCACTTTTGGCTTTCTTGGGCCTAATGCATGCAGTGATTGCCCAAATCTTTAGATCCACTGGGTCATTTAAATAATTGCCTACAGCATAATCCCAAGAAGCCTGCGATACAGAATTCTGTTATATACAGTGGGGAACAAATAGCATTTCTAATAGCAAAGTACAACTTTCACATTTCTGAAGAAATGTGGCAGCACACGCCACTTTGAATTGTTGATTTTGGCATTTAAAGCAGATGTCAGTATCAGTTACAATTAAAAGTGCAAGAATGCACATTTCTAAACTGGACCTCTAAAGATAAGCTGTGCAGCACAGAGCCTCATTGCACAGGCTAAGAGATTTATTCCCATCCCCTAACCACCTACACCTCTTTAGACCCCCTGGGAGAGCAAAACAGGAGCATCTAAAACAAACATTAAGACATAAAATATATGAGTACAACACAACTATGCCTTTTTACAGGTTGATAGAAATTAAAAAACGAGCGTACGTGAGGTCTTAGGAAGTAACCTATAAAAACATTCTACCTTAACATGTCATACCTTCTGCTGCTAATTCTTTCCATCTTTCTTTGTTTGCTTGAATGATCTTCATCAAGTTGTCCTTGAAGGCCCTTAGGTCTACAGTTGCTAGAGAATTTTCTGTGTGAGTCCCTCCATCACCTGTACTTTTAAACCCAGGTCGTCTTTGTGCTTCAGCATTGCTTACTGCTCCCAAACTATTTTGACTGGACAAGGGAAAAAAACCCCAAATTACAAAAACAGTCAGGCAATTTTAATAATACACAAACAGTTCATGTCAATCAAGTTGCTTAGGAACTAACTTGAAAAAATAGTTTTTACCAGAGTGTGCCTAAAATGCAAGATGTCTTGCTGACCATTTTTCAGGGAATTCTTGAAAAAAAAAAGTGACAACTGAAAAATACATTACTTGCAATCCAATTCTTAAAAGAATTTTTACACAGACATTTTGGAGCAGCTTCTTAGCTGTGTTTTTGCATGACGAATGGTATCTTTGGCTCTCACAGGAAAGACATCTGATCATTATCTTTTGACCCATTAAAAATAAAAAGGAAGACATGTATAACAGGTAAGTTTTGCTTAAGCTGAAAAGTCTCTTCAAGTTACAAAGTTCCAAGTACAGACAAAGAAAGATGTGAGTGGCTTTAAAATTCACTAAATAGAGACTGCAGCTACATCTACAGGTGAGTAGAAGTGAAATTATCCATATATGTATATGGTGGAAAAGGTGGGGAAAAAAGAATGAATGCTCTTTTTTTCTTAGAATTAAAAAATAAGACCTATTTCCAACCTTTTGCAGGTACTCATGACTTAGTAGGTTTTGTTTACTCAATTTTGCTGCATGGTTTATCTCCTTGGTACCACAGACAGATGCTAATAGACATATAAATGGGTTTCCATTAATCAGAAAATAGTTGCAGTGAACATACCAACAAGAACTTCACAAGAAGAGTTAACTGTAACTTCCATGTGCTCCAGAGATGTTGAATGGGATAGAATGGAAAGAATAAGCCACAATTCTGGTGTTTTTCAGGCACCATCTCATGGTGTCCACGCAGTAGCGTGTGTGCAATTCTCTGGCTCAGACTTTTCTGTATCGTGCCACAGGCTCTCCACTCCCCTCAAAACTGTGCCACTTGGTTCCATTCAAAGAAAAAATCCCTTTATCCTCCACCTCACATGACGAAGTTTTGCTGGATCATAAGTGTTTTTTCATTCGCCCCTCAGTAATGAACATCAACCAAAAATGAAGCCTGAAGCTGCTAATCATTTGCAGCTGCTAATCACTCATTTGTGAAGGAATATGTAAACAAATGTGTTATCAGTAATTCCTTAGTTTAGCACTGTTTCCCCAAACACTAAGAACACTATCATAAATACCTACTTCTAGTAACTCCTACTTGCTTCCAGTAAGCAAAATCTAGGAAAGCACTAGGTTCACCCTTTTGTTACTGAAATCTAACTAATGCCCAGCAAATAAAAAATTGCCTTGCAGAATTATCACTTAGCAACCTCAGTGAAAGTTCAAATTACAGTTTTAAAATGAAATATAAATATGATAACAGAGGCAGTATTTGTAAAGGCAGTATCTGATTATTCAATAACACTTTCAGCAAGAAGCCACTCAAATTACACTGTTGTAGCTACTTTGCCTTATCGGTACAGGAATTTCAATAGCCTATTGGAAAGATTATATTTAAAATGTAGAACTAAATTTCATGGTTTGTATGTGTTTATTCTGATCATTACTGGGATTTTGCCTTTTTATCTGTACAATTGTTCAGTCAATGGGGCAAAATAGGACATTGCAAATACAACGCAGCCCCACAGGGTGGCAATACTGCACAGCTGTTTGTTACCTCCCCAGCTTCAAATAACCGAGATCACTCTGAGCATCACATTATTAGGATTACTATGTGAGCTTATGTTAGTTCAATAACAAAGCAGTGTGTTCATACCTGGGGGTCCCAAATGCAGGACTTTCCGATTTTGTCGCTTCCTCTATAAGAGGCATAACAATTTTCTCCATTGAATCAGTAAGAAGAGAAAATGTTGGTTCTACTATGAAATCAATGAAACCTAAAGAAGAAAAAGAGAGAAAATCAGGTTTTCTATTTCCACAAGTGTCAAAACTAAAAATGAATACTTGCTATTGGGCTGATTTTCTAACTGCAGTCCCAATTCAATATACTAGATACCATTAGTATAATCTTGAAGAAAAAAGCACAATTGAAACAAAAAACACCTGAAGCTGTATAGATATAAGTGGATATTAAAAATTACAGCTTTTCATTCTTTTTCTTGTAAATTTTATGCACTGCTGAACACACCTACCATTTGAAATGAGTATTAATTATTGAATAGAAGGGAAGCTACTGTTGAGCCAAAGTGCTACAAGCCATGCTGTCTCTTTTACCATTTGGAGCTTCTTGCCAAGGAGTTAATATTTCAAATTGCTGTTTATTATTCTGTGGAGGTAAAGTGTTATTTCACAGTGTGTAGGAGGGTTCTGTCAAATCAGTGAAGAGAACAAGTAATATCCTTCGGAGACAGCATTCATCCCACAGTTCTGAGATGTCAGCTCTGAACAATGTCTTTTACATTCTAAAGTGCTCATCGTGGTATGGAATGACACAGTGAGAGAATGAAGCATTATTCTCTACTGAGCGTTTAACAGAAAAAAATATGTTAAAACATGAGCTAGCAATGGATTTCCAGATGTCTTCCTGCTCTAACCATGCAACGCAGCATGAAGATGAGCAACAGGGAGTCAGTCTATAATCCAACTTCTCTCCTGCAGTAAATATGATGCTTAAGTACATTGGCTTCAAACTCCCAGTGAAATGGAACAAAGGATACAAAAAGTGAGTGACCCAGGGAGGCTTGACCCTCTGTAGTTTGACCCTGAGACACTGATAGGCTTACTTGCAGTCCAGAGGGCTGATTTATTCATTAGCTTTAAGTTGAGATGCAACTCAAAACTGGTACTTTGAGATTATAATAGAGAGAGACTTGTGAGTTCTTAAGCAAGAGATAAGCAGTTTGAGGACATGATTTTCCAGACTCTAAAGTGTGTACAGTAGAAGCTGGGCTTATGTCCAGTATCTTGGTTAATCCCTCTTCTACCCCTCCCTCACATATGGTGAAATTACATCATGTTCTTTTGAGACCAGCATCATTCTGCTGCAAAAGCACAGGAATTTGGTGAACAGATAGGTGCAAAGAAATACCTTCCACATGATGGAATTTTGAACATTCAAAATTCAAAATGGGTAAATGAAATGTCCCTGTGAATTTACATGCTCCTACACAGACAAAAAAGAGAAAAACACAGTTTGTCATTACCTATTTGAGACTGAGCTACCAAAGTGGACTTGCGGTCACAAAGTGGGGAAAATTGAAGACCTAAAGCAGCCTCCTTGTCTCCCTGCAAACAACAGTGTTTAATATTATAAGCATATATTTGATGGAGAGACAGAAAGACAAAGGAATCTGAATATTCTCAGTATTTATTCAAGATGACTTCATTAATTAATATTCTTAAATAAAAACATGTCAGAGACAAATCTTCGAATTTTGATTAAGTGTCTAAATTCTGACTTTGGCATTTTTATGTAAAGAAGTTTACTGCAAGTTCTCCTCAGCAAGGCATCTGCCAATGAGATTTAAAATATATGAAGTCCTTGTATTCATAATTTAGTTCTGCTGATCCAGATGTAATGGGACTAGAGATACTGAGACATGTTTGTAATAGTATGCCAAATGCTGAGTGCTTCCTTCTATTACACTGGTTCATCCAGCATGTAAAACTCCTTCAATGGATTTACTCATGTCAAGTGTATGAACCAACTTGAACTTGTTCTCACTAGCAGGTATGCCTCTCTGCTGCTGAAGCCACAAAAAATACAAATTCAGCTTCATTACAAGGATGATTTGTACAACCTAGCTCTGAAGTTTTTTCAGCACTCAGCAGATTAGAAGAGTCTTTTTTGTTGCAACAGTATTAACAGGCAGGAGGGTGTATCTCCATTTTCAGCATGGTAGACCAACTGATTTACAAAACCTCAAAAGAAAAGACCAGTGGCACAAAAAACAAACAAACAAACAAACAAACCAACCAACCAACCAAAACCAACAACAACAAAAAAAACTGAAGAGACATCTTTCAAAGGAGGTTATAATTGGTGTTGCTGGACAAACCTGGCTGCCAGAAGCACTGATATTACAGATATAGGAAAACCTAGCCTTGCAAGTCAAATAAACCTACATATTTGTCATGGAGAGCGCTGTTAGATGATCATTTAGTGGAGAGCACTGCATGAACACACCATTCTCACAAGGAAAACTGGGAAAACCTAAACTGATGGATGAAGGGGGCAGTATTAACCTTCCTTAGTCTTTTTGTCATGTATCACTGAAGTATATTTGGGAAAGATTTAAAACCATAAAGGCAGGAAAAACAATGCAGCCACAGAAACAGATGCAACTCACAGATTGCATTTCATGTGAAAGTGGAGAGCTTTATCACTAAGGTCATTACATTTTATACTGAAGTGTTAATAATTTGAACTCAGAGCATGGAAGAACACATGAACAATTGCTACTAGGAGCAGTGGGAGTGGCATTTCCATGTAAATACAGGGGCCAGATTGCAATATCATATAAACTGGGGTAGTTCTAACTACCCCACTGGATTTTTTTTTGTTTGTTTTCAAGTAGTTCTGAGTTATGAATTACTTTGCAATCAACATAATATCAATTAATACTTAAGTCATTTAAATCTAAGACTGTAAATTGTAATAATGGACACAAAACTGACATTTAAACCAGTTAGAATTTGATGAAATCTAAAAACAAGATACAAGTCAAACAGTAAAAAAATTCTTTGTCCAGGCCACAGACTCACTTTTTAACTCTCTTTTAATGTCTCTGCATCTGTTCAGACTGAGACTAGAGTACTACAGGCACTGTGGTACTTCTTTGAGTTACTGGAACTATGTATTTCTTTACTTTTAAGGATTTGAGATGGGTGGCTGTTTTTCTATTTTAAACAAGTAACTCAGATTTTCCTTGGTATTGCAATACACCTTCTGTAGCTTTTGCTATTAAACTTAAAGTGTTGTTGGGCTTTTTTTCCCCTGAAGTTAACACTGGCACCTATCTTAAACATTAGCTGGAGTTAACAAAGTTTTTGTCAAGGTGAATGTTCATTTTTTTGCTGGTGAGCTTTGAAAGCTGCTTGTGAAAGCATTGGATTTGCATCAGCTTCTTTCAGAATCTACTGCCTCTCCCATAAGGCACAGAAGTAGCTGAATCTTTAAAGACAAGAAAAGGAGGAATTAAGGGGTTTCATATACATTTGGGCTACTTCATCTTGGTAGTCATGGATTTGGAAGTCCCAGAGATTTCTATCACACAGGCTCAACTCAACAGACCAGAGCATGCACAAAAAGCCAGTGCATGCAGCGAGTAGGAGACCTACTGTGTCTGCACTGCTCACTGCATTTATGTATGTGCTGACACTTCATCACATTTTAAAAGTGCTGGAACTACTCCACACACATTGTCCTTAGCAGTACATGGAAAGAATTCTGTTTCTGATACACTCCTCTGCAGCCTGGAAGACTTTGGTATTTTTACTGCTGAGTTGCATGTTCCTTTTTATTTGCTATTGTTAAATGCCTTTTCAAGTTCTTGAGCAGCATTTTTGGGATCCAGTTACTTCTTCTAATGGATGGATAAAGGAATAACTAAAACATTAGCTGGTCCTATGCATTCAGTGACCAGTGTGGTACTGTTTACTGCTAATGCTACCTCCACTTGGCTGGACACGTTGCCTCACTGTCCCAAGGGCCCTGTCTAGTCTGTCTATCTGTGTCTTAAATGTTATTACAGTTGGTCATTTTATGACTTTTTCTTGGGCAATCTGCTCCTCCTTTTCGCTCTCAAGTTCAAAATCCTCAAAATTTCCCTTGACAGAGGTAGACACAAACTCATGACTGCTCATTATTTCCATAAAAGTCAATCCATCCATTATTTATATTAAGGCACCAGCTCTCCAGTCTGCCTTCTCAGTGCAGTCTAGAGTCAAGGATGCCCGATGCTCCTTACTGAGAATTCACATGAAGAATCTCCAGGATCTGAACAGGAACCTTATATATGGCAGATGGGTCTAACAACCTCATGGTTTAACATGCTTCCTTTCTTATTCTCTGATCCCTTTTTCCAGCGTGACCCTTCTGATTTGAAAATGTCAACATATAGCAAAATTAAGACAACCAAGCTGAGAAAGACATTGAGTGTTCCCTGATTTAAAATCTGTGCATAACTCTAGAAATTGTCATACCTAAACTGGACTTTGATTATCAATTGTACTTCAATAACTGTTATGCTGACAATGTGCATGGTCACAAATATTGATTACAAAGAGAGTATTTTCCCACTGGAGAAAGGCTTTTTTCTTTCACCTGTTGAGGTGAGTCAAAAAATGACAGCACTGACACCAACATCTCCTGGAATTCAGTACCTCACAGAAATAAAAAGGCTTTCACAATGGTATGACTTCATTTTTGGTTTAGGGTATATGGTCACAGCATTAATAGGATGGTAATGTCTAATCTCTGGCTTTGGATCAGGCTGTTATGAAAGCAACACCTTCAGATCTATGTGGCATATGCATGGCAAATACTAGCAAGGAAAAGAAATAGAAGGGCTTTCTGAAATGAAGAAAACTTTTTGCCTTCTTTGCTGAACATGAATTCTTCCTATTTTCTCTCATCCTACCCTTCTGGTGCTTCTTTATAATTCAAAGCATATATAAATCTCTGTCTACAGAACGAAAACAGCTTGACAAGCTATATTATAATTGAAAGGAAAAAAACCTACTACAACACTCAGAATACTGATATCAGCTGAAATAGATGGAGAACTATAACCATTTTGTCTTATTCACACACATAAAAGTTGAATCAATGTCAGTGGTATGTATGAAGAATAAAGAATATATACTACTGACTGTGCCTGTCAATCACAACCAACAGCAACCTTGTTGGCAGACTTAATAAAATATTCAATCATGTAACCATTGCTTCTTGAACTAGATGTATTAAAGGATTTTAAAAATGGCACCTGTCGAAAAAATTCTTCCATCAGGGCCATGGTCCACCGGTAGTGCAGCTCCCAGGATTTTGCTGGATGGCTTATGTCTGCTGCATGTAGAATCAAAGACATGGCTTTGGCTTTGTCTACCCTGTCAATTCAAGGACATGCTCCAATTATCTCAAAACAAAGGCAACTATTTAAATTCTTTTCTTGAATATGAGCTCATTGAAAGGCTACAGATAATGAAGAGAATGAAAAACAACCTACCCCTGTGCCTGCTGCAGAGTGTGCCGCATTGTTTTAATTTGTTGGAAATGACCCGACATGTCTGTAGATAAGACCATCTCAATGACCAAGCTACGCAACTCCCTAAGAACAATTAAAAGCAAAATGACTGATTAAAATTCATTTATTCTCTGTATGGTACATTTGTTTAAGCGGTATTTGTTAATTTATAACTTTCAAAACAACATCATGGGTTTTATTACGTTTTAAAAAGCATTTAAATAAATTATTAACAACTTGAATATTGTATCCTAGAGGGATTCTGAGAAAGCAGTGTACCTCAGAAAATGTACTCTGTAGTCATTATTTCAGAGCCACACTATTTTGTAAATCCTATTTCCTAGTGCATAAACTAATATTACATGCAGTTCTCTCGCCCATTATAAGTCATTCCTTATTTTTTCCAGCAGCAGAGTATTCAAAAAACAAGTTGTTCTCTAGGCTTACCACCACACAACAGCATACATTTTTACTGCCCTCATGTTAGTGAAGAGTGTGCATAACACTAAGCCTAGGAAGAAGGCTGTGGAAACAGTCAGAAGAGCAAGAGGTATTACATCTGAAATACTATCAACATTTCACCAATATAAGATCATTATGACTATCTACCTTTCAGTCCAAAAGTATTGTAATACCTATTTAATGAATCAGAACAAGTTTGGGATTAGTAATCTATCTCTGTCTTGGTGTTTATGATTAGAGATGTTGGCTTGTCCATCTTTCTATTAAATCCATATGAAACTAATAAAACATGAATCATGTAAAGAAACTTTATTCTGATTGTAAATAAAAAATGTAATTAATTTTATCAACAATAATTACTGGCTTAGAAAATTCTGTCTCCTTGATGTAGAAGGATCATATATAGGCCATGTAGGAGTCCAGTAGGTCTTTCTTTACATGCTTTTTAAATGGCCTAGGAGGACAAGCGGTGCTTACATGTACATGGGGAATTTCCCACATTAATCCTTTCATTATGTACCATATATCTTCATGAACACATTCGCAATCTTAAAGACGTCCAAGTATCAAATAAAACAGTAAAATCCTACCTTAGTAATTCTTACTGATCTTTCATACCATATTCATATGTTTGACTTAAGTAAATCAAAAAACATGCAGGCGTGTTCAAAGGACTATGCTTTAAAGAGGTAATTAGCAGTTTTCTTTAGGGCTATTAGAATACTTTGTTATAAAGACTATCAAGACTTTTTTGATCCAAATAAATTACATATTCAAGCATACATTTGTTGCTGATTTTTATGTATATATTCCTGACATGCTTTAATGTAACTGGATAAAGACTCAATGCTCTCACTTCTACTCAATAATATGCAGCCATAGCAACTTGTGTTTAGAAAATGCCTTACCTTATCTGACCTCATAATAAGCTACTAATTGTTTTGCATCCCAACTGTTCCTCCTCCACATTGCTTTGAAAGTGTACCCTTCAAAAACAGTCAAAGCCATTAAAGAAAAAAAAGCAAAACAAAAAACCCAACAAAACAAAACAAAAAACCCAGCTAACACTACAAGAGAAATGAGGGCTCTGCATTGTTAAACCCTGTTGTTTTTGAGACTGAGATAATTATCACTTTTCCTTTCCATGGGAGATTTTCTTAGGAACATTCAATGTCTGAACTTTTCAGAGTAATCAGAAAAATCAGAAATAAGTTCACCCTTACTCACAAGATACCTCACCCCTACTATGCAAGACACACAGAGAAGCAAAACCACATTTTGAGTTTATTCATATTGTGATGGCAGGAGGAAAAAACCCCTAATTCTTACCTACAACATCTGAATTAGGATCAAGAAGTATAGCACTGTCCTGTCATGCACTCCTGAAAATTTCAGGATGCTAAAAATCTGCTTAACAGCAAAAGAGAGACTCCTGTGCCCATACCCACCACAATCAGAGGATAGAATTGAATCCTGATGGGGAAATGGTAGGTAAAGCTCTACTGGAGCTACAAATGCTTCATCTGCTATCATTGCACAGAAGGTTGATCTTGGGCAGATCCCATCACCAAATTGCTTCCCAGGGATAAAAGACTGTCTCAACTTCCACACCATGAGACCTCAGTCTGTCTCATGGGTGACTCCTGGGCAGAAATCTCTCCCAGCCCTCACTAGGCAGTCCCCAGCTACCAGACTCAGGATAATACAGGCACCTGCTACCACCCAAACAGACACAGATGCTGTCATACTTGAAGGGGAGTGGTAACAATATTCACATACAGCACATGGCAATCTTTCAGGCCCCATATCAGAAAATTACTGGGTTTGAGTCCACCATCTCCACTTTACTTAAGTAAATTGTCATCTTCTATGCTGGCATCCTTTATAAGCCATCTTCTCTACACAAGTCCTACAGATAGGATACTGTAAAAAACATAGATGCAAGACTATGTGAAAAAATTACATGAACAATGCTGTAATAAAGAGACAAGGAGTGACACAATTATTTCTTGAAAAAGTAGTTAGCCAAGAAATAGAAACTAGCTTTACCTGGATTTGTCCATGACAAAGACATCTAGTCAGCTAGAAACTAATCAAAAAAATGCAGGAACAGACTAAGATGAGCAAAGGCAAGGTGAGAACTGAAGACATAAGCCTCATCTTCAGGTTATAGGAATCCTTAGACAGAAGAATCTCAAGGGGCTCTGTGAAAGAATGTTGTTCATTCTGCATTATACATAACACATACTGTTCTGTCTCTTTTTTTGATAATCAGGGAATAAATCACTGTATGCCTTATGACTGGGGTGGTTTGAGACATTAATACTGCCCCACCACCTACAGTGACATTATGCATGGGGTGCTGGAACACTGGGAACCTGCTAAATCAAAGGAGAAAAGGGGGCAAACAAGGATCCCTCTTTAGTTATTTAAGGGCACAAAGTGAAAGAAACAAAACAATATCAAAGATTGGAACAAATTTTCAGAGTCAAGAAAAGAGTGAAAAATTGCTATGAATGTCACATGCACTATCCACAAAGGACATCATCCTCAGAATGTTGGCAGTGCTCCCCAGCTCAGACTAGAAGGCTAAGTTTTAAACTTAATTGAAGCTGGCAGTTTATTAGCACATTTATCTTCTTAAAGTTAACATGTAGAAGAGAAAATTGAATACTATAAAGTAATTTCAGTCATTTTGCTTCATTTTGCTAGAATAATTAGCAGAACCTCAGTTTAAATAGTCAGCAGTGTTAAATTTTTGAAAAATGAAACTGCTGCAACTAAAGAAAATAGATGTGACAGAAGTAAAGAAATTAATCAGTGCCAGGAAGTACATTGAAAAGTTGAGCAGATTATCATTTCAATTTACTGACAACTTGATTCAATGCAACCCCTTCAAAACTGTTAGTTTAACAGCATGAATGTCAGTATAGATCCAAGAAAATCACTCCAGCAATAATAAGAAAATTGTGTCTGTTAAGTGGCTACCAGATCCATCATTGCACCAATGAAAAGGCAGGGTAACAAGAATTTCTGGGTATTAGAAATGAATACCAGGAAACTGTCATTTCCATGAATGACCCTCTAAATTGAAGTATCACATTGCAACAGGTTGTGCAGGTTGGCACAGACAGGCACTTTGGAATTTACTGCTTGCTTCAAAGAACAGAATGTAATTGCTGAGCTGAGTGACAAAACATGGAACTGAATGTCCTAGTTTAGATTCTTGAGCTTATTAGTCAATTCATACATTTCTTCTGCATTTTACTGAATATACTCAAAAAGAGATGATAAATTCTACTTTTCTCTGGTTGCCAAAACTCACCAGCTTCAAACTGGCTGCATATAGAATCTGTGTAATCTACACAAGCAAAATTTGCAAAACTAAAGTAAGATCTTCTAGGAAAACATAATTGTGTTACAGAGAGAAGAGATTGGAAAGGAAGTGTAAGCCGAGCCAGAGTGTGATTGTGCCAGTTCCAAAAGAATGTGGCAGCTTATCACAGGTTCAAAAACCACAGAGAAATAAAATGCAGCTAAAGTTAGACAAAATGCTCCACAACTGAACTGGACAAAGAACTGTGGGAAGACCTTCCCAAACAATCTATGCAGAGAAGAGTGTGCTTCAGAAGAGAGCCTATCACATTCCCCCCTTTCTTTTGTTTGCAGTCCAGCAGAGCAGTATAGATGAACATCACAACCTGGAAATCACAGGTCTCTCTTTCCCCTCACAAATATTTGGGTTTCACCCTGACATTCCTTTTCTCAGTGGATAACAGAAGGGAATGACTGGGATAAACTGCACTAGCTGGCAGCCAGATTTCTATCAGCTGGAGCCACTCTATGTTGCTGCAGGGATTCCCAGACTACACTGATTTATGGTGGTGTCCAGTGATGAAGAAGCCTGGACTGGGGATGAACAGAAGTGTCTTCAAGCCATCCTTGGAACACTCCTGGATTGAAATTCAGCTGAAGAATTTCAGCTCCTTTCTACTTGGAAGCATCCTCTGGTAGGATGCAATATGAAACAACACCACTTCAAAAAAAATAAACTCAAGGCAACATGTCTGAAGATTTGAAAATAATTTTCCCTGTAAATTTATGGCTTTAAAAGACAGAATATGAGTTTCTGATAGCTGCATACTGGCACAATAATCTTCTTCATACTCAATAGCTAGAACAAGCAAAAACAGGGTCACAGAGATCTATCAGCCCCAAAACAGCTTCACAAGGAGCAAGGCTGGCTCTTGTTGGCATTGAAAATCTAGGTGTATAGACAGTTATCAATGAAGTTTACAAATTACTTCTGGAGAAATTTCTCCAGAACAAAATGTACAACACAAACCTTCTGATAACTAAATCTAAATGAGTATCCTCTGGGAAGAATTCTTTTAAGAGAACTAAAAATGGTATGCTTCCTCTCTCACTTTGTATTACATTTAAAAATTATAGATTTTAAAATATTTTTTTAAAACAGGTACAGAATAATAATTAATTGAAACCCAGAAGGGCCAGCAGACTCACATTTAATAAATGCTTTATTTAGGGGTTTTCTCATCATGCAAATGAATTAAGACATGTAAATCTACCATGTAAAACAGTCCATCTGTAAATATACACCTCAACAAAATATGACCTGATGTTCACATATTCCTTCATAAATGTATAATTTTGTGAAAATACAAATAAAGCAGAGTTTAGCTTTGTTATTAATGGTAGCACCATTCACAGTGGGAGACTTTCCCCTAGCAGAACATACTTCTCTGAACTTCACAGTCCACCTGTCTCCAAGGGGTTTTTTTAGGGCCATTGAATAATATCTGTGTTTACAGAAACACAGAAGATTCATATTTTAAATACATTATGTATCCATCAATGAGACACAAAGATGATATTCCCTTTTTAATAACAGAGAGACTCTAACACTAGAATTTTAGCCTTACAGGTCTTATTATTTGTGATATATCAATTATGATACTTAATCTTTCAGCTGGTCAAATTTTCTTCAGGAATTACACTAAAATTAAGAAGAAAAAGAAAAGGGCTCTGTAGCACTTCTGGCCCTTTGTTATTTTTGGACTGTCCACACAATTCATTTTTTAATGCTTAACCAAGACGTGACCCTGCTGAGATCCCAGGAGCAGCAGTGCCCAAGCTGGCAGCAGAGTGTGACTCTGCACTGTGATTTCAGCCCACTGCTTATGCTGGACAAAGGCAACCCAGCTCAGGCAGCATTGTGGTTTTCCTGAAGAGCTATTTCACCTGAAACTCTGTCCACACACTCCAGCACTGTGCCTCCTAAATGCACAGCCTCACTTGGAAAATTACACAGAATCTCCCAAACAGTACTTCTTAACACCACAGCAGCCTTCCCTAGGCTCTAAACATCCATCACTCTTTCCACTGTCAACTTCCTGTAATTTGAACTCTTAAAATAGACTCCTCAGGGAAGGCCTGGTGGCTTTTATTATTTTTAAATGCTGGGAGTATTTTTTAATGTCACAGCAAGTCTTACCTCCAGTCATCTTTGTTTAGATTAGCCAGGATGTTCATCTCTTCTTCCTGCATGAGTCTATAAGCAGCACTTACATGATGATTTTCAAGAACAGAACGATCGTTGTACAATATAGCAACATCTGACCTAGTGTAGGGAAAAAGAGGCAGATTTTGTAATAGTGTTCCAATGATGGCACTGGGAAAGGTAGTATGTGCTCTCTATCAGAAATATTGACTATATGTACATATATAGAGATAGATATATCAAATGATGTTTATTTGTTCATATTCTATCAAATACTGATAAATTTTCCATCTTAAATGCATTAAAAATTATCATTATACCATTGCATACGCTGTTTGTGGGAAAGTAATATTTTAAAATGTGCGATGTTTCATTTATATGACCTAACTGTGGCAAAAACTCATGAGATCTTTGAGCTTCTTGACTGCAGACAGGATCACAGAGCATCAGAATGCTCCAATTAGCCTACAAGAGTACACTTACATGATGCACCCATTTAAAATTCAATGTGTTCACCAACAGCGGGGGTCCACACATAGCTTGGGTATTAGGAAGTTACCCCCCCTGCTCTAAGAGATGTGCTTTGGCCCATGCTACTCATTATCAGAAAATGCTGTAAAAAAATAAGGTATTAAAATTTCATATGTTTTGAACAGCCACCATATTTTCTCAGAAAAACAGAGAAACCTTGAGCCTCATCACAGTGGGATGGCAGAGATGCTAAGCTGCAATTTGGAAGCACTCAAGCGTTTCCTAAAGACAGACTCGTACCATAATGTTAGCAAACTTAACAAACTTAAACTCCTTTCCTTCTTAATCAAAGACTAAAGTACAATTCCAAAATTACACTGAGACACTCACACATTTGGATGCGGTGTGGATTTATCATACTTAGCTTCAAACATCATTAATTCTTGGGAAATTTGTTCCCCCGAGACCTGATCTAACCTGCTAGGCAATCAATCTCAGGAGACACCTCTCTGCTGCAATTTTGTTCTGATAAAACTATTTCTGAATATTTCAATTTGGTCCAGTGACAAGTCTGTACTAGAAGAAAGGTGTGTTGCTTTAGCAGTGCAGCTCACTCTGACATCAATAAGCTAAATAAACCTCTTGTTCGGTTGAGCAACAGTAAATATTGCCATGTATGGTACCAAGGAATATAAATAATTTAAATAGGATTGGAAAGGTTATTTAGAGGAAACAAACCATAGCCAGCCTAAATAATCAATATGTTTACATCCATAATCAAACTGAAATCATGGGGAAATCTGTGTTATGCCAATCACATATGTTTATGAAGCACACTTTGATCAACAAAGCCACTTATGACTATGTTTAAGCAGTGCTAAAATTTGCTATGATTTTGGCAGCCATTCTATCCATTTTCCTCAGGCAAAAGACACTTGGAATCACAGTCTGGGATGCCACATCAGGGCCAAGTTACACAAGGAGAGAAGAACAAGCTATATCACATAACAAATACCTGTTTGCAAGTATGCCTGAGTAAAACTCAAAGGCTATCAGCTTAATTACTTTTCCACTCTTGCAGTACTTCATAGCAAAATATTAAGGACAAAAATAGAAAATTAATATAAACTTGGAACTACTAACTGAAGTTTATTTTTAGCCAGACTATGCTGAAGGAGAAAAGAATTGTGTCCTTATTTTAGCTGCAAATCTAGCATTTTTCATCACTGAAAGCCACATCTTGGAGAAAAACGATGTTATAGATTTAATTTAAATGTAATCATTGTTCAGTTGATCCATATAAGTGAGTGTGAGGATGTTTGTGTCCAAAGTAATAATATTTCTAGCACTGAACTGTTTTACTAGAATATGCCAGTGCTATGCTGAGTTTTTTTAAAGAGCAGCCAAAGCAAACTCCTCAACTGAGGATACTAAAAACAATGTATAGCTCAGTGTACGAGAAAAATAAGATGGTTTGTAGTAGGTTAAGTATCAGATATACCACTTTTCACTCAGTAATGGATTGGTCAGGGATTTTCCTGTGATAAGATGAAAATATTTTAAGGGAGAGACCTATATGCTGTTGTACAGGAGCAGTAGCTAGAATGATATGCTGCACCTGCAGGAGAACACAGCTAGCCTAACTTTCAAGCTGGATTCCTTCCTAGATTTCTTTTTCATTTCTAGAGATGTTGCTTTCAAAACATGCTAGGAGATGGCTTATGGTAGATGTTTCTAAAGCTCTACTTGAAAGTTTCTCCCTCTACACCAGGACCCTCTAAGTTCAATATACAAAGTGAAACAAGATGTAAGCACATTGCTGTAAGTGACAAGGCATTTTTATGGGGATACAGTAAAAGAAGTTTTTGAGTCAGTAGTATCAGAATTTTAGAGAACAATAGGGGGTGAACGGTTTTCAAGTCCATGTTCTGCATGTTCTGAATATTTTCAAACTTCCTCTTGACATATCAGCTCCAAAATGGAATTATTTCAGACATTATGGAGCTGTCTTAGTACTTTTCCACAGTTTTTTGACCATGTGACTGATCCCATTAACTGGACAGAAGTTGATGAAGCAATTTGTAAAACCAGGACTGACCTGGCTGCTTCCTGGCTTTATAAGAAAGAGTTATTAAACAGTTCAGCAATGAACCGAATAAAATGCAAACTCCAGATATGACTCTTATGAGACTGCATCACTTACCTTGTCTGAATATGAAAATTATTTGTGGTCCCAGTATGTTCATAGTCATGGACGGCAGCTGCAAAGATCATTGCTAAAATTTCCAGTTCTGTGAGCCAGTGCTGGGAAATGAAAAACAAATCATAGTCACATTTTCAATAATAGCCTAGCTCAGATTAAACCCTACAGTACTGAAAATGTTTTACCTTCAATGCATTATTTTCAACTTAAACAAACTTTCCTCTAACTCCAGATAACTATATATCCATAACACTTCAGTACTATACAATAAAATATGTCCTTGTACTTATGATTTCTCCGAGACCAAGTTAAAATCCTTATGGCCACTAGCAAAGTAAATATTTGCAGCCAAAAATATAAGAAGTTATCAAAAGAATTACACAGTTCACTTTACGACTCCTTTGAGTATCTACTCTGTTAGCTCACATGTGGCACTCGCCAAATTACAGTATATTAATCCAAAGTCTTATATGAAGTTTAGGTTATAATTTGTCTTTTAGTAAACTATATATACAGTTAATTATAAGTTGAAGGTACAAAATTAGTATTATCTATATTTTACCAGCGTACATAGCACTAAAATTAGGCCCATGGGAGATTTCTCTGTTCTAAATTTGATCGTACTTTGTACTGATGAAAACCAAAAAACTTTTAAAAAGTGCAGAAGGCTAGTATACAGTTACACAGAACAAAAGGTAACATAGGTCATGTATACAAAATAATGTAGACCCTGGAGTTTTGAGGCCTTTTATAACTCTTGCTAAATGAGGCTGTTCTGTATAGCACAGCTTGTAAAATAACCTCTGTTATCTTCTTTCGAGTTCTATTTCTTGAATGACAAAAAGTCCTTGAGGAGAAAACTTACTCCATCTAAAGATGGGGGCAGAAAAATCATATGATAATTAACCCCCACAGTCATAGGACTGATTAAGTCAAATGCCAGTCAAGCATTTCCACACATATTTTGGATGGTTTTGGTGTACAAGTAAGCTTCTGTACTAAAGGATCAAAGAATGATTTCAACTTCACACACCCCAATATGCACAGATGAATGTGCATGTGTGTGCATGAATGGATATGAAATGCATAAGTTCTCAGATGTAGTAAAAGTTGCCAATAGTAGTTCATCTTTCAAAGAAGAAGAAAGGAAAGAGCCAAGATTCATTAGCAATGTAAGAATAATTAATTAAATAGGTCATTCAGTGACACAATAGGGCTGCTGAGGAACAAGTACTAGCTGCTGGTGAAGCAGTATAGGTTTAGAAAGGTCACAGGCAGAGGAATGAGAATGTACTGTAAGCAGTTCTAAAAATGGAAACCATGACCTTCATCATATTGTGTGTCACAAGAAACCAGGCCATGACCAGTCTTGGCTCTCACAATGTTTTCAACATACCAAACAGAACAGAAACACAGAAAGTGTAATGAAAGCTAAACATAAACTGTTCTTTAAGATGCCTTTTCAAAGGTCAGCTTTTGTAGCAAATAAAATAGTTGCTAGACAATGCATTCATAAGCAGAAGAACATTCCTCACAGACAATATCTATGGGCTACACAGAGACTTCATACAGTAAGAGAGAAGAGCAAGTATTCTACACACACTGGTATAGTCAAAATTGAGATCAGTAATCAAATTGGAGAACCAGAGAACTTCTTTAGCTAAAAGATTTCTAAGGAAGTAGAAAAATACTCTTACAGAGACAGTTAATAAGTGTGCTTTGAAAGTGAGAGGGAAAAACAAGTATCTGGGGGTCTGCAAGACTGAGAAGAGCTGAAACATGCTTCCCTCCTGAAAGATATTATGTCTTGTGGGTGTCACGGATAATATAAATTATGTCTTCTATGGAAGTATTATGTATTCCTTATATCTAAAGAGATACATGGCAACTTATGAGTTCTGTTTGAAACTTTTTTTACAGTGATGGATAAAAAACCGAGCAAGAAATGGAGTCTCACAATGCACTTATTGGCAGTAAAGGCATTTTTTCCTTTACTTTGAGCAATACAGGTACGTGGGAGGAGAAAAGGGATGGTGGGAAGATGATCGATGACTCAGAAGTTCTTTACAAGAGATATTCCCTGGGACTTGGATTCTTAAACCTTTATAAAGATGAAAACTTCATGAATGTAAGCTTGACTTATACATTTCAGTTGCATCATCTGGGATTTAGTCTCTTGGGAAGGTTAATAGACTGTCTGCCATCTGTGATACTTAACATTCTAACACATTGATCTGAGGTGGCTGGATCTTCTTTCTTTACATAGACAGCAAATTTTGAAAAATATAATGATTATTTCATTTTTTAACAGCAGCTCTGGATATGTCTTATTCTTCACCAGAATTTCTCTAGGGGCTTGTGGAGAAGCATAAGCTCTGATTAGCCAAAATTTTTTGGCAAATGTGGAAATAGGGCTGTTTTGAAGATTCCTGTAAAAGGTACAAAACATATGACCTCAACAACAGGAATCATGCAAAAGATTTCCTAAATCCCAGCTTTTGGAAACATTTGCTTCAGTATGTGTTTCAGAAATAAACAAGGAAGACAGCAACTCTGCAAGATTTGGAGTGAGTACCAGGTCCTTAAGAGAAAATGAAAGCAGAAAAACCTCAAATTGCAAACCAATCTGGAAAAAAATAAAAAAAAACAAACAAATTATAAACCACAGGAATTTGATCTAGAATTGCATCATATTTACTCTAATCCAGGTATTAGAAATAGAGCAGAGTTTTAAAAAAGGATTACAATGAACATGTCTGAAAACGGTTGGCTTGAGAAGCAAACTCCAAATTGTTATTGAGTAAGGTACTGGAGGGTTAACCAGGCAACAGGAAAAAAAATCCAGCAAGTTAAATAGAACATTTTCATTCTACTGATACTTTCTCAAATTGCAAGTGACATTTGGGAGAGAAATACTTTGCAAGCTGCAGAATCACTAGGCCCTCTTTCAAACACTGATTTCCATAAATGTTCCTTCTGCCTGGCAAGTACATCTGTTTGAAGGCACTCTTGACTAAGTGGTGTCCTAGTTAGATTTCTTTCCAAGAACTTTCCAGTATCATAGCACCATAGAATCATAGAATGGTTAGGGTTAGAAGGGACCTTAAAGATGATCTAATTCCAATTCCCCCTGCCACAGGCAGAGAAATATCACAATTCAATGTCTCAATTTGGCAATTACAATGTGAATTAAACCTGGGCTAATTTTATAAAAATATTTTGTAGCAGTGTTGCAACACTAATGAGATTCTGCAGTGGTAAAGTCTAAACTTTTTTAAAAATCATTTTCCAAATCACATCTAAGGCAGAAGGTTAAGATGCTGATAAGGATGGAAAGGCCTTTCTCATGGCATTGCATGCAGTGAAATAGCAGATATTCAAATATTAAACAGATTTCTTTATTCAGTGTTCAGAGATACACAAAGTTATTCAGTGTTCAGAGATACACAAAGTGTCTGTCAAAGTGGTTTAAACAATGGCTAAATGTCCCAAAATTACTAGGACAGTTCTGGAAGTTGGAACTTTGTCCCGGCATCACAAGAAAAATCTGAATGTTACTGTTTTTTTGAAGGGCAGCAGGGCAGATACAACGGGCCAGAGGGATGTTTATAATAAAACAAAAGGATTTTCCTCCTGGTAAGATCCAGGTGTATACCTGCAACAAAGAAATGGCTCACATCACTTAACTCTTGCAATTAATCTAATATTCTCAAGAATTTTCCTTTACTAAAAAAGTATTTTCATAAGTATTTTGCATACAACAACTTTGGTTTGGACTTCTCTTGGCAAGAGCTGTCTAGCCTCTTCAGTCTGATATGGAAGTGCTTTCTCAAGAAAACTTCTCAATCTGAAAAGGAACCTTGGCTGTTGAAGACTCCAGGTTTCACTTAAGTAGTATTAGAGTTAAAATATAGCCTTGAACACTTACAAGCAAAATACTTCCTTCAAACAGTAGAATAAAAGCAGGCAGTGCCTGGAGACCTTTCCTTGCCCACCCTGAAGCCAAGGGCATTTTAAGTGAGAAAAGGCTTAACATAAGTGATTGACTGCCATTTATTGTGTATATATAGCAGCAAAACCATCCAGAGTCAGTTCTAAATTTTTTCTATCCAAAGTCTTCTGGAATTGTCTCACAGTTCTGCAAACAGAAATCAGACATTATTTCTTCCCAGCTGTTTCATTTGTTGTTTGGGTTTTGGTTTGCTGGGGTTTTTTTTAAACAACTGCATTCACAGTGAAGACAAATTATCAAAAAGCCATTGACAGCAAACTCCATTTTCTTTCAGTCAGTATTTACTTTTGCCTAGTAAGCTGATAGTGAGGAGAATTCCACTGCTGGTATTTAATTTAAGTGTTAAGAAATAAAAATGCTTGCACAGATTCATTTCAGTTCCCAAATAAATAATTTAAAATATTGTGATGTTTCAAGGCAAATGCAATAGCCTGCCCACCACGGGCACATAGAGTATTCAAGAGCAATGCTAAAGAAGGTTAAAAACGGAAAGAAAAAGCAGTTTCAGAGTTTAAGGCCAGGCTGGATGGGGCCTTGAGCAGCCTGGTCTGGAGGAAGGTGTCCTTGCCTATGGCAGGGTGGCTGGAACTGAGTTGTCTTTAAGGTCCCTTCCAACCCAAGCCATTCCACAATGATATCATTCTAAGCCTGCACTGATTCAGGTGATGATATAATTCTAAGCCTGCACTGATTCAGTACATTTTTCAACAGCCAGGACCTCTGCAGATACCAAAGCTTCCCTGCCTGATCACACCTCCCATGCTCTGATGTGAAAGTAAAAAAATTCTCACCTGCCCACTCCTGCAAATCTATCTCATTAAATACGATATGAAATACCTAAATTCAGGCGATGAAAAGCAAAAAGGATTTAAACATTTTTTTTTTTCTTCCTTTTTCCCTCTGCATTAAGAGAAGTTCAGCCTGGAAGAACTGTTAAAATGAAATAAAGTTCACAGCCTGAACAGCCTTGAATCTCTCTCTGCAAAAATTTTCAGCTGAGCTTTTTCCATTAGAAAAGAAACATGTACACATTTATTCAAAACAGCAGAGTCTGAGAAAAGAAGTTGAATTTCACAATACTTCTTACCATGATGCCAGTGTGAATCATTATGTAATGCACAGTTTGAGTAACATCAGCTGCATGGATCAAATTGTGATAGGGATTTTTGTATTTGCTGTAACCAACTTCAAGAGCTTCAGCAAAAGAAATAAGATTGGGAACAGGGATCTACAGACAAGAAAACATTAAAATAATTGTTTTTTCCTGCAACAGCTGCAAAGTCAAGCATGCAATAAATGAATCACAAATAATATACCATGGGATCTAGTGGGCAAACAATAAAAGAAAAATTTAAAATATGAAGACCTGGTATCATACATACACCAATGAGCCTCTACACAAATTCCGTAAGTGTTGTATCTCTCTTCATACACCATGCACAAGACACTGCAGAGCTTTTAGCTAAATGGTTTTCAAGGTATGTCTGTCTGCACCAGGGATGCAGAGGTTGCACGTATAACACAGGCATGGCAGATAGGAGTCTAACAATAGGATTATCTCCGTTTCTTCACTGCTTTTACCTTGCTTCAGACAAGGTCTGCTTTAATGTCACAGTACAACTTCCCTTCCTCCAGACATTGTGTGAACTACAGGTACTATCTGGTCCCACTCATTTTTGCATTGTGCTCGTTTTGGCAGGGATAGAGTTAATTTCCTTCATAGTAGCTGGTATGGGCCAATGTTTTGGATTTGTGCAGTGAACAGAGCTGGTAACTCCAGGATGTTTTAGTCACTGCTGAGCAGAGACTGCACAGAGTCCAGGCCTTTTCTGCTCCCATCCCACCCACCCTGGGCAGCCTGGGGTGCACGGGAAGGGGGGCAGGGACACAGCTGGGACAGCTGGCCCTGCTGACCAGGGGACAATGCTCCACACGGCCTCGTGGCTGCAGCCCCGGGCTGGGGGAGCCTGGCTGGGCACTGCTGCCGGGGACTGCCTGGGCAGCACTCAGCTGCTGCTGCTGAGCAATTGCTTTCATCTGCAGCCTTTCTCCCTGGGTTTGATTCCTCTCTTAAATATTGATTTTCTATATTATTATTACCACCATCATTATTAAACTGTACATATCTCAACCCACAAGTTTTCTCACTTTTCCGCCTCCAATTCTCTTTCCCCCCATCCTTCTGGGGAGAGGAGTGAGCAAGTGAGTGGCAGTGTGGTGCTTGTTTGCTGCCTGGGGATAAACCACTTCACCCACTTTAATAAAATTACATATCCCTTAATAATTTTTTCTTTATTTAAAAACCCTGAAACATAAACAATGGGACTGAGAATGGGCTCAAGCCTACTCTGCCAGTAGCATTATGTACTTCATGTCTGTGTTATAATGGTGGTCCTGGTGTGGTTCTTCAAGCAAACGAAGCCTGTTGGGAAAAGATGGGTTGCCAGCCTAAAATTAAAATATTCAAGAAACTTCAGGATGAGACATCCTCTTCAAAAGGAACACAGAGTTTTTGCAGTGAAGAGATTTTGAAACTATCAGAAAACTTTCATTTGGTACTATAAGAATAAATTTATCTTTTGATTCATTTTTTTATCTCAGCTTTTCAAAGTTGGCTATAATGACTCCATATCAATACATATAGTATTGAAAAAACCCTACAAAGACCTTGGAAAAGCAATTTTTCTCCTTATATATCCCCCAGGTTGTTCAGGAGAGGAAGGTTCAACTGAACCCCCTGCACATTGGTGATCAACAGCGTGATCCAGACCATGAAAAAAGTATTTAGGACTAACTATGGTTTTGTGCCTTTTTGGTAATTTTTGGTCTATAATGGTGGGACACTGGTTCAGATCTGCTGAGTAAATAGCCTGTATCTATTTATGTAACACAAAAGGCATGACAAGGGTCTACATATCTTTCCATTTTTTGGCTTGCAGAAAAATTTGCATGTTCTGGGTGAAGTTTCATTTGGTAGAACAATTGGCATTTTTCAATATTTCATTTGCCATATTCTTTGAAATTCTACACTGCATCATACAATAAAAAAACATTTCAATGCTGGTTTTCTTGTATTTTAAACCCGACACATGTATTTTTGCATCCATATTTTTCTTTATGTTTAGTTCCTGACCTTGAAACGGCTCAAAAGGTCGTATCGGGTTAACAGCTCATACATCATAAATTTCAGACTGTGCTCTCCACTTGCTTCATTAAGGGCAAATACGTCAAAAGACCACTTATCAACATCCTGTAGATGAGGGAAAAGGAAAACAACAAAAAACAAAAGAAAAAAAAATATTACATTTCCATCCATTTGGGTTGTATCTAGAGGGAAGTGGGAGAGTTTGGTGGTTTTATTACCCAACTCTTTCAAATTCCTAATGTAGATAACATATTAATGGCTACTACAATATTGATGATGGGAACAATTCTGTCAGTTATTAATAAAATACTTGCAACTTGATCAAGGCCATTTGCACGCTTTGAATCAAACTTCCAAGTTTAACTTGCTCAGTACAAACTGTCTATACAACCTCATGAAGATACTCTGAATATCACCCTTCAAACAGGCTATTATGCAAGGTCATTAACACTGATGTCATTAAACATAAAGCAACTTGAGAATAACATAATTGTTTGGCTTTCAGGGGAAAAGTGGAGGTACTTAATTCTCAAGAAATCTCAGTTTATAATTGCATTAATAGACATAGGAACTCAGCTTACTATAAAAGATCATCTTTTGGCTGAACTAGAGTAATACTTTAAATATACAGCAAATACTGTACTTGTTCCATAAGCTTCAGCTTCTTTTGTTAGTTCTATCCCAATACTATCTCCTTTTTCTTGCCTAAAAAGGAAACAAATGCTGCTGTCTGAGACACTGATTAGGATACCACTGGGAGCTGGTAAAACTGTCTCACATTTCGATAAGAACTTCTATACAAATTTCATTCTATTACTCTAATAGGATCTAAATTAAGTCAGAATTAATCAGAATCATATGTTATTTCTGAATTTTTAACTATTCGTTTCTCTGTACTTTGTGCTCAGTTCTGTAGTACTAACTATGGTTAGGGCACCTTCAGTAGAAAAATATTAATTGGACCCTAAAAGTCACTAAACATAAGTGCAAATACATTCAACTTCCACAATGATTAAACTTCTTTCACCTTAAATGTGACTATCACTTCTGCTGGATAAGCCAAACCAACCATGCTTGAAGTTTTCCGGTACATCCTAAAAGAACAAATAAAATATTAAGAAATAGCTCTTCTTCAAAAACATACTGAAAAAGTTTATCTTTTAATTTTTCTTTCAGAGTTTGTGAAGTAACACGAATCTATTTAAGGTTCTGACCCCAAAGATTTATGTAATCTTTTATGAAGCTATGAGACAATCCCCTTTGCAAGTATATTACTCTGTAATATTAGAACAGCCATTGGTGCAATTTAGTGTAGAAGTTACAAAGACATTGAGTTCATCCCCAGAATTTTCCAAGGCTTAAGAAATTTTAAAAATGAAAGGTTTCATCTGGAATTCTGTAGAGAAAAATGGAGTGGTTGCAGAAAATGAAGCATAAATTCTGGCTCAAAGATTTGCTCCAGGTTCACTCCACCATTTAAAGGATGGCAGATGGTGGTTAAATGCAGTGCTTGCAGTAACAAGAAAACAAAGCTCTCACCTTTCTACAAAAATCCCAGCCTGTACAGCATGCACAATGCTTCGGAATTTGGGCTTTTCCTCAGGTCTCCTCTTCACTATTCCCATCTCCCTCGTGAATGTAGAAGCTAACCAGTCCCGCACTTCCAGCGGGACCGAATCCGACTGGATGTCAGAGAGTTCATCTTCAGTGTCCAAAAGTTTCCTACAAAAAAAAAATAATACAAGGTAACCAACAAGACCTTGGACCTAACAAGAGGAAGTACTCACACGTGAACAGCTAAAAAACTTGATTTAAGAGGAGCCGAGGTTGACTGTAGGAGCAACTCAGCACATCACAAAATGTCTTCTCTGGCAGATGGACTGACACCAAGGGGAAGCTGTGCACAGCAGATATCATCTCTCTCTCCCACTGCTCACATTCCAGAAGTTAAAAGACAATAAAATGCAATTTATTCAACTGAAGACAAGAAAAGATTTTTTTACCAAGTTGTCAGAGCAGTGGTGGATTGAAGAGTAATCAATGAGCTGTAAAATCCCAAGACCACCTCTAAAACAGTAACTGACAGAACTGTCAGCAGGGTTGCTGCTATAAGTGAGAGCCCCATTAGTCTATTGATCTGTACCTCAAAATGGTACAAGAAGTGTTTTGATGCTTACAAACAAAAGTAAATGATGTTACATAGCAATGATGTGGTGTGCATGTCAGTGAATGCCCCGTACACATGCTCATCCTGCTATTGCAGCATAATAAAAGCATTAAAGAGAATTAATTCCTTTATTGAAAAGAATTAATTCCTTCTATGTAGAGATCTCTATTCCTATTGAAGGCAGGGTAAAAAAGTCATAGCAGTAAAGATATTATACAAGATTGTATTGCAAGTCAGCTTTCAAACTTGTTAGCAGATCAAACAGCTAGAAAAGTTATATATAACTCTTGCAAAATAGAAGTATTAAAAAGAATCTTCACTTCAATAAAAGTGAATTAGAGGTCATCAGTTTACTTAGAAGAAACTTTTAACTAAATACTGTCTTTAAACAGACTCAACACTCCCGTTCCACACTTCTATAAATCTTTTTCTTACAGTTATTTGCCCTTATCACTCAGAGTGCTGGGGTTTCCAGGAAACAAATCCCTTATTTTGTCTGATATCAATTTTCCTTTCATTCAGTTATGCAAGAAACCCCAGAGTAGGGTGACCTGAATATATATACAGCATGCCACCCTTTCAAAATATTTTCTTGAAAGTGATACCAATTGAATTGCAGGCATTATTTGATTGCATAGGTCTATTTCTATTGTGCTGCGTTTCTGAAACATGGATGAATAAAGAAAGCCTGAGTGTGGTGTAGTTCAAAAGAATCTCCACATAAATTTAATCCTCTCTGAGGGATTATAGTAATAGGAAACATGTCAGAAGAATCATATTAATTATTGGTGAACTGTGAGCATAGCATATTTGTGCTGTTTCAGTAGCCCATCTGATTGACAGTATATTTTCTGAGATTCTTCAACTGGGGTTTAAAAAATATAAATGTGCTCCTTGTCCTTCCTTGGTTTACTGAAAGAACAGTAGAAAAATTCTTATTTTTTCAGAGGCATAGAATTATCAGGCTAGGAAGGCTTCTTAAAATAGAGTAAAAGAAGGGCAGAATGAACAAGGATTATGAAATTTTCTGGCAGTGGGACAACAGCCAAAAATCAGAAACTTAATTTGGAAGAGGAGAACTTGTGTGGAGGAAAGGATTTGAGCAAATTATCTTGCAAAACTGAACCAAGGCTGAGACTGGCCAAAGGTCAAAGGCTACAAGTTGGCTTTATTGCCCACACTAAAACCTATGTTATAGTCCACTTAAATCCATACTAGTCTAACACTGTCATTAAATATTCCTGGAGAAATCAGTACATTTATATTTCTGAGGAATATTTGACATTTGATATGTTTTTTGTATAACAAGGGAAAAAACCTTACAATCCCTAAAACATATTTTTGTAACTATTGCAACGTTTATTCAAATGAGATGCAAATATTCCCACAGTTAGAGGGCCATGGGCATTAGGCTACCTCAGAGTTTGCAGCCAGGATATTCCACATCACCTGTGCAGCAGGAAGCAGGGTTCTACATCAGTTTGCTATGATAAGATGCAGATCTAAATTTGGGATCTGAGCTCTGCAGATATGAGCCACTGGAGTACAAATTAAGACTAGAAAAACACACTGCAGTCTCTCTCATCTTTTTAACCATTCATCTGTAAAGTAGGAGAACTATTCAGTCTGTAAATGACAGTAAGCAGGAGTTATTTCATGAAGATGGAACAGAGAAGGTAGTATTTGAAATAAGTGTTCATTTATCTGTCATTTTCATGAGGCCACTGCTCTCTGATGAGAGATGGCTGAATAACTTGCCAGGGAAGAGAGAGTTTCAGTGGATCTGCTTCTAACTTAAATATCAAGAAAAGCAACTGCAACACAGAATTAATTTGCAAGCACAAAATCTTATTGATCCCTCATCATGTAAGATTAATAACTTTTCAAAAAGGATTAGTTTCTTTCAGGTGCCTAATTGAAACAACATTTAAGGAGAGGAAACAAAGGCTAGTCATTCATCTCACTCAAACCCATTCTAGCACTTTATGCCTTTAAAAAAAAAAGATGAAGATCAAATAAAATCAAATGACAGGTTCAAAACAAAGGCACACATTCAAACACTTAACTTCCTATGAAATATTACAGGGTTTTTTGCAAGATTTTGCAACCTAAATTGTAATTATAAATTGTAAACTGTAATAGAATTTTGTGACATTTCAAAACATTTAAACTACCACATAGGTTCAAAAATTTCATGGAAAAATTAATGGGAAAAGTAATAGACATGTGGCTATGGCTGTCAAACAGAAGGCTACAGCCTTTGGCTTAGCAAGTATTTGGCATGTAGTGACTAAAAGGCTCAAAGCCTCATGCTCCTAATCAACCAACCTGAAGATAAGATATTGTGGGTACTTTAAAGCTAGATAGTTGTTCCATAATCAGTCTTGAGTAAAACTCTGCTGAGATAAATTTCATTGAACCAGGAGGCATGAACTCAAATATCCCAATTGAATTACATAATTATACTAATAGATGCCAAGGCACATATTTTAATTTTTCTTCCATAAAGCAAAGGAACACCCTAAAATGCTAAAAAACAAAACAACAAAAAGAGCTCTACTAAAACGTGCCACAGAAAATACTTTTTTTTTCCAACACATAATCAGGATTTCAGGGTTGCATACACTTATTTTGCTCATGTATCATCAGCCTGCTAAGTAGATGCAATACGAGGAAGAGATATGCGTGGGAAGGAGAGGGGGAGGCTTGGGTTATTTAATTCTATTCATTCCATGAGTAGAACTTTCATTGACAGTTGTGGGAATAAGTAAGACATGGCCCTTGGCATTTCAGCTTAGCAATCAATTAATACTGCAGTCATAGTAACTAATAACCTGATCTTTTTTGTCGCAGTACTGTGTTTTTTGCCAAGAATAATTTTTCAAAATTCAAGTAGTGATAATTTCTAGCTCTCTTTTCATTTAATCAGAATTTTAAATATAGTAATGCACTAGTCAGAAGTGTATTTCTTTTCCCTTAGGAATATATCAGATGTACTATGGAGGAGAAGAAAGAAAAGAAAATGAAAAAAATTAAAATTAGATAATGGCTATGGGGAAAAAAATTCCATCTTTGTTGATCAGTCATGCTGCCGAGCAGAGGTAGTGGAAGATTTCCAGAGAAGAGGTTGAGAAGGTGGTACTAGCTCTTTGCTCTAATTACTGAATTATTCAAGCCCTTAAGAGTGAATTAAAGTCCTCTCCTATGCCTAGAATGCAGGAGAATTTACAGTCTAAATAGTCAGTTCACATTTTTACCAATTATTTAGTTCTATTATCCTCCTATCTTCCTGAATAAGCATGAATCAATATATTCAATCAATATTTCCATCCTCTATAGTCCATTACAACTTCCACTTACATCCACTAAAAGGTTCTCTTGACTCCCAATAAGGATAAACAAACTGCAAAAACAAATGAGGGGCATTTTTAGTACATAAAGGTCTTTCCAAAGGAAATTATGATTTTTACCAACTTGTTGTAGTCATAAAATTGGCACATTCTTAGAAGTATTGTCCACATATGAAGAATTACCAATTAAATAAAATAAACTGAAAATAATTTGGAATAAATGCAGGAAATACAACAGAAGAGAAGCAATGTAGGAAGAACCACTGTTACTGAAATTTTCACTTGTTGATATGTGCTACCTACTCAGAAATGCAGAGATATACACCAAAGGCAAACAACAATCTTAAGGTTTGGCTCAGGCTAATCATGATTTAAAAATGTCATTTTTCAGATTACAGATGTGAGCCACTGTCTTTTCTCTTTTTCCTTTCCTTTCCCTTTGATACAGTATTCTGGGAATTCTATAGGGCAAGAACTAATTCAGGGCATGATTTAGAAATTAACAGCAAAAACTTTGAAACAGAAAAATTCAATAACTTTGGAAAAGGGATGCTGGCTATTTATTAAATACCCTAACTGAACTGAGAAGCTTAGTCAGAATTTAATAGATTTTCAGTGATTTTAAATGCATTTGTTTTATGCAACTTGAATGCTCTTGTAAGCTTTCCTCTCAGAAAAAAACACAAAAAACCCCCAAAAAAGCAAACCACGTTAGGTTAGTACAAAAGATTTCAAAGGCTTATTTTAAACTTTTATAAGGGTGGAATGTACTGAATTCATCTCAACACAATAAGCTTTTTCTCAATAGCAGCTTTTGCAAAAGTATCAATTGTAGATTCCCTTAGTGGATAAACTGAATGATTCACTTCAAATGGTACATTTTGTTGTTTGGGCAAAGTACATTTAACCATGGGTTGGCAAGGGAGGACAGCAATACATGCTCAGCAAACTTGACTGAATATTCAAGATTAAAATTTAACTTCATGCTTAAATAATTGCCTCTTCAAATATCTCCCCAGCTAGGCCAGTTGAGAGAGAAATCACAGACCGTATTTTTCATCTGGTAAATAATTACCAAATAGAGCACCCCATTCCACCTGTTCTGTCCTTGGCATTAGGCAGATTATGTTCTTTAATATTCATAGATTTTTCTCAAAAAGGTAATTTTCAGGATAAATATGTTCTAGATCTTTCAAAAGAAATTACATTATTGACTGAATGCCTTACTGTTCTGTGAATGATACATTCACCTTCATGTATAAATGAGCAAATTAATCTGTCTTTTCAGATTGAGAGATATGGGATAAATGTTTTTAAAAATATGTACATCTCTTTGATGTAAGAAAATTTAAGTTTCTCGACCTTGCACCATCAAAGACACTTTGCTGGTGTGACCACCTCTGCTGGTGTCCCTGAATAGCTATTGGTGCCTGAACTGGCATAATTCCTTCCATAACCAGAGCCTTAGGGCCAGTGAAACTCTCTGACTCGCAGTCAGCTCCATCTGGTGTGCCACAGGTGAGAACAGAGTGCCAGTGGTCCTGCAATGTCAAGGAACAGTTTCCTGCTGGGAGTTTCCTGCTAGCTCAGAGCCTTACAATGCTCTGTTCAAGCCTTACAATACAATGTTCAGGCACAGTACAAGAACTGTGTCTGCCATTGTAGTGTCATTGAAATATTATTTCCAGAGCTCTCATGCAAATATATATTGCTACAATGTCACCCTTAATGACATCACCTTTTTCTTCATGAACCTGTATTTGTTATTATGCCTTGTTGACTCAAAGATGCTAAAAGATCCTGCCAGTATATAATACAGAGCTACTTCATGCATTACAGAAATGCAGTCTCTTCTAAGTCAAAAGTTCTCAAGTAGTTAAAGCCTTATTAAAAGGGCATTATACAGTCTGAAACAAGCAAAAATCCTGTATGGAACTGCAACTGAATAGATAAATGTGCCCCTGAAATCAAGTCTATTTTCTAACATACTGAGGCATATAAAAATAAAACATAATTGGAATAAACTATTCTGATTTTATACTGAACAGCATAAAAGTAGTCTCCACAATACGGATTTTTTCTTATTTTTACTATTACTATTGCTACTTTTATTATTTAGCTTTGGAATACATTTTTTCCCTTTCATCTTGTAATGCTTATCTAGATTTAATTTGACTTATTTTCTTTTCAGTTAGCATGAATGAAGAGCTGCATTTACAAGGAACAGAACATCTGTCATGACTGAATTATCAGGCTGTATTTATTTCCTGTTTGACTCTAAATATCCTTCTTCCATTGCCTTGAGCCAAGTGGCAGGTACTAATGGAGAAAATTCTGCAAGATTTGTCAGAATTATTTATAATATCTATTAAGTTTGAACTTCTTCCACAGAGCAAATCTAAGGGGCTGGAACAGTGAGAGTCTCCTGGTTATTTTCAGCTGATGATGGATCTCAGCTTCAGCTACCAGAGTGTTTGATCTCTTTCGAGGAAGAATTTGGTGCAGCACTGAAAGATGCAGCAGTCAAAAAGGAGCTTGTTAAACAAGCTAATTGAGTGACTTGGGGCCACAGATAATGGAGCTCATAGGAAAGCAGCACTTACTTGATGCCTGGTGTCTGGGCTTTACAACTTGCCATCAGCTCAGAACCTTTTATAGAGATATCGACAGTCACTGCCCCAAACCAATTTTTCCTCATTTTGGAAGGTTATCCCTAGTGCCTATCCCTGTTTCTAAGAAGTCTACTCTCAGAACTTCTTAAATAAAATCTGTTGTATTGTTTCTCTGCTTTTGCCCTAACCCAAATCCACAGAGCTTTAGAAAGCTCAAGAATGGAAATGAGTATTGGCAAATAGTTACAAAAAATGCTCAGATAAATGGCTATAGTGTAAAGAAACAAAGGAACAGACAAAGGGAAAGTCAGGGGACCTGAAAAAATGTTTCATCCTCTGCTAAATGGTGTGAATTCTACAGCTATTTGAACCTGATTGTTGCACTTTAAATAAAGATTCAATATGTCATCAACATTCATGTTTGAATGTTCTTCCATGTTCACACACAACTTTATAATATGATACAGGTTTTTCAAAAAACTCAAATGAAGTAACGATATATGGGGGGGAAATGGGTATCTTCTACTGAAAGAAATTGGAACTGATCACTGAAAAAACCCTCAGTCTTATAAGGAGAAAGATGTTTTTGCCAGAATAATGCCAGGGATTCATTTTTTAAGTAGTGGTGGTTTCCTGGAGCTGTGGAACAGACAAGGCTCTTCCTTGATCCTTGGCTACCTTACTGACCAAGTTCTGTGAGATATGTCATACTTGGACCTCTTTATTGACCTTTGCTTTGGCTTTTCCTTTTGCTGTTTTCTTCTCTGTGCCTGTGAAGAATTGCAGAAGGTCCTTCAGCAATAGGTGGGGGACCACTGTCAGGAGCATTTTATCATCCTGTTTCATAGCATATATATCAGAACAGAAAGATGAAATAAGAGGATTCAAGTAACAAACTCTGTGTTTAATGCTATTCTTAATCTGTAGAGGTTGCTATTCCTGTCTACAAAGATATCTAAATGACCTTTCCCTCAGCTGATATTGAGGTCTGTTGCCCAAAAAAGTGGGGAAGAAGAGACCACAAACAGGATGCCATTTTAGATTGCTGGTTGAAGCTGAGGTCTTCCTCTCCTTGGATGCTTTAGCAATGGGTCAGTAAATTCATCAGGACAAAATCCAGGGATCAATACTTGTCTTAAAACAGCACAGGTATTTTCACATGAGTTGCAAACACTGAACAGAAATTAATATGTAAGAAACTTACTGAAGTTATTTGAACTTTGTGATGTATAAAATTGCATGTTCAGGCTCAGCAGGAACAGGCCCTTTTGCTTATGATCTAAACTATTATTTCTAATCTACTAATGAGTGCAATTAACTCAATTCCAGACTCCCACAGAAGTAGCTCTGTGCAAAACAAAGAACCTGTATTCTTTGGTGGGAACAAGGACAAATGCAACCCCACAAGGTAACTCAGCTAACTCCATTTGACTCAGTGATACATACACTGCTTTGTTCCTTAAGGATTGGCTTCCCAGGAACTCAAGAGACCCTTTTTGTGTGCTTACATTTTTGAGTGACTTAGGTTACAGAATAACGGCCATGCTATTTAAAACATAATTAACTTTGCAGCTTGCCATGGAAAAGAGTGCTACTGTGAAAGTACCAGTCACAACTATGGTGCTTTCCAGCCTCACAATAAATTTACTATTTGCAATTGTCAGTAAATTATAAATTTTACAGATTACCATTTACAATTGTTTTTAATGGGGAAGTGTCAAAATTTAAAATAGACCCATACTTAACCCATGTCCAACTAAGATATGGAGGGTCAGTCTACATTTATAGGATAAAATTAACACAAAAACCACCAGGTTAAAAAACCCCATCATACTGATTCTGAATTTCATGGAGACTGCATTAGTCCAAGGAAGAGAAATCAAAACCAAAATCAAATACTGTAAACCAAAAGGAACAATATAGAGGTAAAACAGTGAAGTGCAAACCACTAAAATTAAAATAATAAAAGCGGAAAAGTAGGTTTCATTATAGTGTCACTTTTAACTATTATTTAGAGCAGAATTAGATTTATATGTCTACATATATACGTCATAAATGCAGACACAGGTACGGAAAGATATACATAAAATGTATGCTTAATGCATATCTATATGAGTGATGCTACCAAAATTTGGTAGGTCCACAAACTCTCAAGTTTCTTTGGTGAACACAGGTATTCAACAAATAAGAACAAAACAAGATACCTGTCTCAAGTGTATCCTTAGTACATTGAAAAATCAGAATATTCTGTAAAATACTGGATGCAATAAATAAATATGATTAGACATCGTTGTGCAGTGAGCTCCAGAACAGAAAAACTTTATTCATACACTGAACTAGCATTTTTGAAAACAGTCACCATTACGAGGACATAGTGGTCCTAGAATTAAGAAAATAATCAGAGGATTATGAAAATTTTTCCAATCACTATAAAATTACATGTGTTTGTTTTCTTCAGGGTATTTTAATAATCTTGATGTCAAGTTCTATGAGGGCAATTAGCTAATTTAAAGATTTGCTTACAGCAAAAGCAATGCACCTGTTGCTGCCAGAGCCTATGTATATTCAGTGGTAGCTGTTTTCTCTGAGCATGAAATGCCTGCTATTTGTCTTGATATTCCCACACAGAGCCAGAAAGACTGGATTCCTCATTGTGACACTACTGTTCATCTGCACAGAAGCTGCCTCAGTTTAGAAACTAAGTAAATCTCAATTTATTTTCCTGGTCCTGGCACTACTGCTCAGACAGAGCCATGAATACTACACCCATTTAGTCCCAGTGTTTGGGAGGTGTATGGAGGAATAACCAGTGCTTTATCTCTGAAGCAAGACTTCAAGCTCTGTATCATCTGTGCAGATTTGCAAGGGGAAGGCACATGCCACAGAGAGAGTGCTAGGTCCATGAAATAATTCTCAAATGTAGAACTGAGACATGTGCTGCACACTCCAGTGGTACCGAGGAAGTTTGGACAGACATCTTTGTGAGACCATTCTGCTTAGAAAAAAAACTTAGAAAGGCCAGCATGCAGAAATAAAACCAGTGAGTTGGCCAGCTAATTTCAATACAGTCCATATCTTAAAACTCTTTCAAGAAACCAAATACTTAGAACTTCTATTTTACTTGGAATTAACCCACATGATTGCCAGTAATACTGCCAACAATAAACAGAAACCAAGCATCAAACGTTATAAAATAAATCACAGCTTTTCATTCATTTGTGTATTTACTGACCAGCTAGTCTGACTCATTTCTGTGAGCATTTCTTTCCAGACAACAGTTACATCTGACCTTTGGAATCTTACTTGCTTTAACTTTGTCATAAAGGACCCAAGAGCTACATACGCTTCTTCTGATGTGCACAGACCTTCAGCTCATGTCAGCGACAATTGCATGCAAAGACGAAAGTTCTAAAATACAATTTGCAACATTCTTTCATTTTGTTTTCCCCTCAGACTTACCTGGTTTCATCAATATAAACTGCCTCCAGCACGGACGCCGCATATTCAATATTCTTTTTTAAGTCCACCACATTAATGTCACCCTTCTCCAGCTGCTTTACCAAGCATCTTAATCTGTAGGGAAAAAAATAAAATAAAAACATCAGTATGATAATTCTATCAAATTTAGTGACTTCATTTTCTAATTGAAACATTGGAACCAACAAAACAATGTAGAGCCAAGGGCTATCACTCCATCTCTTGTCTTGGTTTAAGGAAATCTTGCTTTAGAATGCACTTAACACTGACTGGTTTTATATTTTTATAGCTCGCTAAATTCATAAGGTGTACTAAAAAATGGCTTATACATTCCGGAAAGTCAGAGAGGACATTTTAACCATCATCAAAGCAATTTCCTATTTATTTATGACATTACTATTATGCCTCAGTCTCTGATGTGTAAAAAAAAAAAAAAAAATTAAATTAGGGTGTTGTCTCACTATAATTTTTCCATGCTTAGGTGGTTAATTACATTTTTATAACCATGGTATACTGCTTTTTCTTCACTTAAATGTCTTTAGTTTTTATTTAGGCCTCCAGTATGTTTTTGCTGCAGAATTTATACTCTTATTAGTGTGAGATAATATGGAAGTCTGTTGTGTCTGTGCTTATACCATGGCAGTAGAAAAATCCAAATATTCCCAAGTGTGCTTTAAACTTTTAGTTTTGAGGATTTTATTTTACAGTACAAATATGGATACGCCCAAAGGGGATTTTGTAATGCACCAACTCATGTCTCTGCAGCAGTACACTTCCACAGACACACTCCTTGAATACTAGATTTTTCCTAAACTGCTGACAAGAACACTTCTGACACTGCTCAATTTAACCATACAGAGTAGATAAAGCACTAGAGTGAAATTAAAACCTTAGAGGTGTGACTAAATGGATGCTTAAAGTAAAGGTATTTTCCTTCTTCCTGTGCCCTATCTCTGAGTAGAAATAATCTACCGTTTTGTAACAAGTAAGATAAAGATTTCTGTAACTAAGGATATATCTATTGTTACATAACTTCCAGTAAATAATCCTCTTTACATGCAGGAAAAATTGTGAAATGGCCATTTAGATAAAAAGTGCAATAAAATTGATTCAGCATTAAGACAATTGCTTTCAGGAAAAGATCATATTTGTGACATACACCAGCATACATAAAATATGCAAATATTATATGAAGAGAAGACTGAAGGGACACCTCACTGCAGTCACAACTTCCCCATGAGGGAAAGAGGAGGGGAAGGCACTGATCTCTTCTGTGCTGACAGGGACAGGACCCAAGGGAATGGCCTGAAGTTGTGTCAGGGGAGGTTTAGGTTGGATATCAGATAAAGATCCTTAAACCAGGGAGTGTTTGGGCACTGGAATGGGCTGCCCAGGGAAATAGTCCCAGCACCAAGACTGGCAGAGTTCAAGATGTGTTTGATCAACACACTCATGCACATGGTGTGACTCTTGGGGATGTCCTGTGCAGGGCCATGAGCTGGACTCAATAACCCTTGTGTGTCCCTTCCAACTCACCTTACTCTGATTCTATGATAATAATATATTTCATATATATATACTATAAATTATTTTCATTGTGTGCGTATATTATTTCATTGGATCTAATTAAAATATATAAAAAACAAAATTAAAGTGATATTTTTAAAAAATCATAGACTTGGAAATACTGTTCTATCATAAAATCATTTTCATGTTTTTCTACATATTTCTTTGGCCTAAGTACAGTTATGTTCAAGCGTGTAAAGGTAATTTTAGCAAATGGGGTTTTAAGACCAACCTCCTCAGTTCTCTAAAGCCTTAATTCAATTCAAATTAGCCTAGCACATGCAATAAATAAGGCTCTTAGCAACCATATTTACTTGGTATTTTACACAGTGCATTGCATATCAGTGGAATGGAAAACGCAGCGTTAAGAAATTTTCTTGGAGAAATGAAGTGGGCAGATGAAATACTCTGGGAGCTCATCTCCTACACAGAAATAACCATATGCATGGGAGACATTTCCAGTACATAACTTCTTCCACTTCAGAGGAACCTGTAGCTGCAGAAGGTTATTCACAGGCAGCTCCCAGAACCCAACACAGGTATCTCCTGGGGTGTGTGCTCCTCGCTACTGCACACAAACACACACTAAGCACCAGTGCCAAAATGCCCAGGTGGGGCTGGCAGCCTCAGTGCCACTGCTTGCAAATAGCTGTAGGGTGTTTCTGGCACTTCCACTGCTCCCTCCATATTTGACTGAGCACATCTCCAAATCACGCTTTCCAAAGTGGGAGCATAAATAAATTTGAAAACTTGTTTTCAAATACACAAAAATAAATTTTTAACACTGCACAGCAGGGGGCCAGGCTCTGGTAGAACAATATCAGCTTAAAGCAGCTTCAAATCCTACCATTTCCAGTGGTTCCTCATTATCTGAGGCAATAGATCAGATGACAGGTATTTGGAACAATTTTTATGCTTGTAGATGTAAATGAGTCCCTGGGGGAGCCTTTAAGGCACAATGATCTTGCAATGTCTCGCTGCACAGGTGACAGCCAACAGAGGTAACCTGCCCTGTGGGTATAGCTCATGCTCAGGAGGAATGCAGAACACAGTAACAGACCAGATGATTTGGAAACACTGCTCAGGCAAATCTGAAGTGATTCTGAAGATGTTGCAGATTCACAGAAGGACACAAGTGACCTTTTCTCATGCATGACTCTTTGGGAAGATGTCCTCAGGAGTCCTTAGCTCTCCCAGTGCAGATCTATCATAGTATCAAGAGATAATTTGGTTAAAGGGACCTCCACCAGGTACAAGCTCTTGCTCAAGACAGGGCTAACCTCAAAGATAGGGATAACTTCAAAAAGTTAGATAAAATTACTCACAGTATTTGTGCTCAAGCTTTGAATGCATGGAGATTTCAAAAATTCTTGGAAAAAAACCAGTTTAAATGGTCAATCAGCCTCATGGTGCATCACGTTTTCACAACATCTAACTGGAGTGTCCTTTGTGGCAATCTGCGTGCCCAAACTTTGCTGTGCAGTTCCAAGAAAAACCTGCCTCTGCCTATGGTACAGCTTCCCACTAGGAAGCTGGACACAGCAATAAAATCCTTCCATTTTGTCACTGATCAGACACTTCTCATGTGACACTAATGAAGGCTACCCCAGAAGTTAGAAAAACTGATATTCAACACAGCATAATTAAGTGGTTTATAGCAGCATATGGACAGTCTGAGCACACTCAATATCTTCTGCATTAAAGTGAATAGCCACAGGAGCTGACATTTTAGTAATGAAACTAATAATTTAGCAAACAATAAACATCAGTTTATAAGACTAAGTAACAAGAATTAACACACCTGTAGCCCACCATTCAACAAGACAAAGAAACTTGTGAAAAGGACAAGGAAAGGTAATTAAAAATAATTATTTCTTCAGCTGTATTGGGAGGATTTTTATTTGTTTGTTCTCTTTCAATTGTCATAAATTGAAAATGAACATTAGAAATACTATTTGAAAACCTGAAGTGTCACTTAAAACGAAGTAATTGTGTTCACACCCAGCCTGTGAACAGTGCTACTAAGAAATAATAGACAGCAAAGAGAAAAAACTGGAGGAGCTATTTTGTGAAAGAGAAAAAAGGACTATTTGAGCTGGTTTAAGATGCAAAGAAAATTGTATAATTGCAGAACTAATGTGATAAAAAACATGAAAAAAAGTTTATGCATCTGAGGACACCTGAAAACTGCATTATAAAAACTAGCAGCCCCAGTTTGTAAGGGAGAAAAGAGACATCTGCAATTAATAAAAGCAGTGGGTGGAGAACCATCTTCTGTCATCTTGGGTAAACATCATTAACAGTGCTGTGGGATTAAATGCTCTTGTGGACAATCCAAATGCACTCTGCACCCGTCTCTCTTCAATAATAGGGCTGTGATGTTGCTGGGGCCTGTGTTTCCCCAGCCCTCACCTCTCTGTGCAGCTGATGCCACTGTCCTGCTGTGGGCAAAAACCCCTGAGGCCCACCCAGCAGAACCAGAGGAAGCAAGGACTTTATTGGGAGATGAAGAATCATTTCTTGATTAACAATATCAAAACCACAACTCACTTGCTTCCAATTGCCCCACTAAAATTCTCCCATGTTTGAACTAAAGTTTTGTTACATCTACTGTAGCTTTCTGGGGTTATACCAAATAACTGAGGATAGTTTTGTGATGCTATGATGTTATTTCAAAAAGCTTCCTATGACATTTTCAGTTACTACAAAAAGGAAAAAGAAGAAAAATTTTTAAAAGGTAAGAAATCAGTGATCAAATATGACTTTTTTCGATGTCCTCATGAGAAAGTCTTTTCTATGGAACCAAGGAGAAATTCCAATGAGAGAAGTATGTTTGGAGATACTGAATAACAGTCCTAAACATAGGCTGAAGTGCTAACAAGGAAAGGTGCAATGATGGCATTACTTAAGAAGGGGTATTTTAAAGTAGAGAGGCAGACAAGTTGGACAATTTCAATTTCAGATTAAACTGCCACTTTTATTTCCAAGATAAAATAAATTACTAGCAATCACTGAGAATAAATCAGTGTTAAAGGCCCAGTTTAAGAGTCTTAAAGAACCAGAAGAGGAAAATTCAGCCTGAAGTTAACTTCTGAACCTGAGAGAAAGACCCTCTGCCTGCTTTCCTTAAACCGCCTTTATTTTCCTCATAAGTCTCCCCACCACTGAGAATTGCAGAGAAACAACTTTCTAGCTTACACATCTGGACTTCACTTAAAACTGTTTTGGAAACTTTGAACAAAAAAAAAAAGCTGGCTTTTGCCACAGATCCTATTAAAGGGGAAGTGAAATAAACTGTAAAAAGTAAACTATAAACTAACCTTGCTTCCTTCTACATTTTGAAATTAGTGAAAATCACTGTTGAAGAGGGGCAATGAACACATTGGCAATTCTTTGAAAATAATAGACAGAGGCTATTGTCAATTAAAGGGAAATTATTATTGATATTCATATTCACAGTGCTGTAAAAACAATTATCTGTGTTGTTTGGATCAACTCCCAGTTGTAAATCATTACCTTCCCATGAACTA